AAACACCATTTTTCCTCTTCCAAACAAGTTCCAATTGATTAAATCAATGACAAACACCCACTAAATTCAAACAATATTCAAACTTAGAAATAAGAAGTGTTTTTGTCATCATATCAGTAGGATTATCCTTGGTATCAATCTCGTTCGCTACAATTTCACCATGAGCAGTCACATCACGCACAAAATGGTACCTTACATCAATATGCTTAGTCCTCTCGTGAAACATCTAATCCTTAGTCAAGAAAATTGCACTCTAACTATCACAGAATACTGTAGATGTCTCCAAGTCTTCACTGATTTCATCAATTAATTCTCTCAACCACATAACATCTTTATATGCATCTGTAACGTCCATGTATTTTGCTACTGTTTTAGACAAAGTCACTGTATTTTGCAAAGTAGTTTTCCAACTGAAAACACAGCCTCTAAGGGTTTACATACCCTGCAAGTGATCTCCTCTTATCAAGATCTCTTACATAATCCGTTCATTTGTCATTCCTTTCATTAAAAAAAAAACCTGTGGGGGACCTAAATGCAATAAAAAATATAAATAGGACCCATATGCTACAAGTTGTAATTTATGGGGACAGTGAGTGAGAATTTCCCAATTTAATTTGTGCTATCAAAATGTTAGAGAAAATTGCATTATTTGTCTATGGCTTCCCATTAAAGTAGAAAGTTGGCCTTCCATTTTGATATTAGGGTCCATTTGAAAGGTAAAGGTGGAAATGAATTCAAATTCTATGTTAGCTGGAAAATAAAAACTCACCAAACCCATAAATTCGTTTTCCATGAAAATAAAAAAAATGTAGCTTAAAGTTGTTGTATTTTAGAATTCGGTTTCCATTTTCACGTTGCAATCAAATGGCCAAAGTGTAATTCATTTTCCTATGATGTGACATTTTTCATGAAAAATATGACAATCAAACAGGACCTTATTGTACAATTTTATCGTGAGCTCGTCACCAGAATCTTTTCGCATCATAATTTTCACATCATAAAGT